CCTATGCCCCACAAATAACCCAGAGATGCATTCTAAATAAAAGGACACATTCTACTCATGTAAAAACACGCTGATTCCCGGACCATCCGGGGGCCGGATTGAGAAGTTGATTGGACCGGATCCGGCCCCCGGGCCTTAGTTTGTCTACCCATGGTTTTAAGTTTGGTAATAAGTTGCAATTCAGCAACTTCTCTTTCCAGTCTATTCCTGTGTGCGGAAAGCTTATTTGAACAGTGGGTAGTTACTACGATCTGCTCAGACTCATGGTTCATGGTTTGTAATCAATCGCTGACTTTGTCTGCATTGCTTTCGTTTGCGGTGTGTTTGGGGGAATCAGAGCTCAGAAGTAAACCACCAATCCACAGGACGGAAGATACTAATAATAGGGTTTCTCTGGAGTAAACAGGTTGCAAATTTCTCACTTAGCCGGTGCTGAAAATCCACGTAATGGAAGCAAGGAAGGAGAGAGCATTGATTTTTTTGATGAAATATTGTGCTGCATATATACCCCAAAGGCTTTGCATTAAGACTAGGCAGGATCCTGACGTTTCCTAACCTTTTGGTGCCCATTGTTGAATTTTAATAACATGCTTTTTAATTTTGTCTTCTTTCTGGTTGAGACTTAATGTGTTGACCCTGCCAGACCTTTCTGACCACAGTGATGATAATGTATTTGTGTGTGTTTATATGCTATATCGGTGTCTGCAGAGAGGGCTTTATGAAATCCATAACAACCCACTATATAAAATACGCATCGATTGCGATCCAGCGCCATTAAAATCAGCAGGAATTTTGCCATGGACTTTAATAATGTTGCAGGCCAGCCCAGTCTCCAAGCAATGGGAGATCCCAGGGGTTTCGGCCACACTTACTTGGCGTCCATGTTTTCTTTTGGAAATGAGGCACAGTGGAAATTGTGGTGTCTTTCATGACATATGGTTTATTTGCACACTTATACAACCTGAGCCTATGATGGAGGGGTTCACAGCATAAATATTCCAAGAGGGCCTTGCTTCGTCCATAGGCACAGCCCTGAATCCAAACTGTCACCAGCCACTCTGCTCTGCCTGCTGCTTTGCGTCTCAGTCACAGAACTCTCTAACCTCTGATTTAATCTTCCAGCTAATTCTGGGTTAAGAGAGAAGCCCTTCCCACTTGCTGTCTGGCACAGAGCCCTCTCTCTTTGGCTTACCTAATGTCTCGTCATCTTCCTTCCTTCCTAATGGCCCATCACCCCAGGCAATTTCTTGGGCATGGGAATCTTGTTGTTGTTGTTGTTTAGTAGTTTAGTCGTGTCCGACTCTTCGTGACCCCATGGACCAGAGCACGCCACTGTCTTCCACTGCCTCCCGCAGTTTGGTCAAACTCATGCTGGTAGCTTCGAGAACACTGTCCAACCATCTCGTCCTCTGTCGTCCCCTTCTCCTTGTGCCCTCCATCTTTCCCAACATCAGGGTCTTTTCCAGGGAGTCTTCTCTTCTCATGAGGTGGCCAAAGTATTGGAGTCTCAGCTTCAGAATCTGTCCTTCCAGTGAGCACTCAGGGCTGATTTCCTTCAGAATGGAGAGGTTTGATCTTCTTGCAGTCAAGAATGGAGAGGTTTGATCTTCTTGCAGTCAAGAGTCTCCTCCAGCACCATAATTCAAAAGCATAAATTCTTCGGCGATCAGCCTTCTTGATGGTCCAGCTCTCACTTCCATGGGAATCTTAACCTAGCTTAATTATAGCTATAACACTCACATGGAAGCATGGGAGAGGCTCTGGAGAGAAGATATTAAATTTACGTCATGTTACGATCTAAAAGAAAACTGTATGAAAATGCTTTACAGGTGGTATTTGTTAAATTAGCCAAAATGTTTAGATCTAGGCCAAACACCTGTTAGAAATGCAGGGAGGCGGAAGGCACATTAATCCACATATGGTGGAACTGTTAAAAGATTGGAGAGTTTTAGGAAATGATCTATAACGAGCTTAAGAAAATGTTTAAACACTCTTTCCCTAAAATGTCCAAAGCCTTCCTGCTAGGAATTATGGGTAACGAAATCCCAAAGAATTTCAGGAGAGTTTTCATGTACTCCATAGTGGCTGCCAGAATTCTAATTGCAAAAAGCTGGAAGGGAGAAGTTATCCCATCCAAATCAGACTGGCAAAATAAATTGAGAGAGTATGCTGAACTAGCGAGAATATTAGCAAGGTTACGAGACGTTACAGATGAAAAATTTATTAGAGAGTGGGACATATATAGAGTTTACCTAAAAGAACATTGCCAAAATATCAATCCGTTTGCAGGTCTTGACTGAGTTTCTGCGTGTAATAGGACAACTTTATAAATTTAAAGCAATCAGAATAATGCAGAGAAGATAAAGTTAAGTGTATAACTAAAGAATGTGGTTTGGGAACACAATGGGGAGATCAGAGGTCATGACGAATTTAATCACAAATTGATGTACACAATAAGTAACGATTACGGAATGAATGTTTGTGTTGAATAGTGGGTAGACATAGCAGACGACACAGCGATTTCTCCAAAGCAGCTCTTTATTTGTAAGCTGTCACAGAACTGAACAGCAAACAGCTCAGCCGGCCTGCTTTTATAGGCAGCCGGCTGTCAACAATGTAGCAACAACAACCCAGGGTTTCCCGCCTAAAATAACTGACGTGGACCTGAGTGAAAACTACATACACAATACTCCTGGTGGCCAGGGTGGGAACTTCAATACATAACAGTTTGTTTATGTTTACGTTGTCTTTAACATCTATTGACTATTCATGTTATCCAGTTTTAAAACCAATAAAGCAGTTTAAAAAAACAAAACAAAACCTAACTTAATTAGCTTTCAACATTTGCTGATTCCAGGGGATTCAAGTGTCTAGCACACAGCTTGATGCACACAGGTCTGGCTTGAAACACACAGGTCTAGCACCCAGTTTTAACACTCCAAGCATTGATTAAATTCTAACACCTACTGGAGCCAGGAATTTACAGGAGTCTGGAACCCACACATGCATAAGATGTGGACTGTCCCCCATTTTGAAACTGCTGTTTTATGGAGTCGGTCCATTAGTCCATCAAGTCTAGTATCCTCTGCTCTTGACGGGCAGCAGCTGGTTCCTCCCCACCTGTGTCCAACCAGCCCATGACAAAGAAGGGGTTAAATACCACAACCACATAAGATCAGGCCATTGAAATGACCTAACCTGGGGAGAAAACAGTAAAGACCTGATGAAGAGAGCGCAGCAGAGGTTATGTTTTCTGAGAATCCTCCGGAAAAATAATCTCTCAAAGGACCTGTTGATGGCAGTTTACCATAGTACTGTTGGGAGTCTACTAACTTATGGTCTCTGTGTGTGGTTTGGGAGCTGCATGGTCAGGGAAAAAACAATGCTGTCCAGGGTTGTAAAGACTGCGGCAAGAATAATTGGGTGCACTCTTCCCACCTTGGATCAAATCTACGCTTCCAGGTGCCATAAGAAAGCTTCAGAGACTGTGCTGGGTAGTACACACACCGAAAATGATATCTTTCAGCTTCTGCCTTTTGGAAGAAGGGACAGGTTTATAAAGACTAGGACTAGCCGCCTGAGAAACAGTTTCTAGCCAAATGCGATTTTGGTTTTAAACGCAGTGTAAGGTAGTCTTTGTGGGAGTATATTGTATTTAATTATGGGGTATCAGAGTTTTTAGGGGGTTAACCAGGCTGGGATAGCAGGCTTGTTGGTTTCTGAATGTCTGGTGTAGATTTTTTCAATTTCGTTGTTCTGTATGGGACAATGACAATAAAGATTATCATATCGTATTGTATCATATGCAAGGAAAAGAACCAGAATATCATGCATATAGAGATCTCAGTTCTCCAAACGCTGGTCCTCATGCAGACAAAACAGCAACATTCGCACAGAAGAGGCACACTGGGGTAGAAGTACCACCCAAGGGGGGGGGATTCCGAAGGGATTGGGCCCCCCAAATGGCCCAATGAAGACTGTTGAGAAAGGAGGGGAATGAAGTATTTATTTATTTCACAGGATTTCTAAACTGTTTAGTTATTTAAAAAATCTCTAAATAGTATGTAAAGCACACCATAAGAACAATAAAATAAAAACAGCTAAATCATGAAAGCCAGGAAAACAGTTTTACGGGTAGTATTATGATAGATGTAGACAGGAATTTATTACTAATAGGATCTAGTTTATGGGTTGAGGAAAACCTAGGGGCGGGGGGAATATGCATCTTTACAAGATTGCTGAAGAAGCTGAAGGAACGCTTCACAAAGAGGGGAGGGAATGCCACAGGGCTGGTGCAACGATGAAAAAAATGCCAGGAGTAAAATTTCCCCACATGACCCAAGTGATCTTTAGGGATGGGGAAGAAATTTGATTTTGTCGAAAGGAGAACCTGCTAAATTAGCATGACATAGCTTGCAGAAATGTGTGTGATAGTCAAAAATTGCATAAAGATAAGTAAAAATACTGTATGCACTAAAATAATGCAAATTTTAAAATGAGGACTGTTAAGTTGTGGGCGAACATATCAGATGACACAGCGATTCTTCAAACAGCTCTTGTTTATTCAGAGGCCAGAATAGAACTGAACTGAAGAGCTCAGTCAGCCTGCTTATATAGAGCTCCAGAACAACGTAACTGTAGCAACTTTCTAAAACTATCCAATAACTGAACGTCACTTCTGATCCTTCATTTGCATAACTATCTACAGTATCCCCCTGCTGGCCCAGGGTGAGAACTTCAGTACATAACAAGGACTCTTTTCTTTTTTTAAAAAAATCACAAATTGATGCAGAAATGTGGAGAACTGGATTTAAGAGTGGGGTAAAGGGTGAGAAACTTGAAAAAACTGAAATGGACTGATACTGATTTTACAGGTCTATACAGGGATAGGAGGTTTTTCGCAGTTATAGGGAACCCTGTTAAACTCACAAGCAGAGCGACTATTATGCAGGAAATCTTGCAGTGCTCTAACTGGCCTGCCCTTTACTTTCTCCTTGCAGGAAGGCCTGGCTGACCAACGTCGGAAGCCCAAGCTCACGCATCGACCGGACGAATTTTGCTAATGAGAAAGAGATCACTAAACTTGAGTTCACGGGCTTTAGCACAAGATACTAGCCAAACAGAACAACACCAAGCTGATTGTACTGCTTATAGCAATTAATCAATTGAAATTATTGTTGATGTTATCATTATATTATCTACTTAACTGAAACACTATAATAATATTAATTATAATATAGATTATTATTATATTGTTAGGTTTCTGCTTTTGCATGATAATGTTTCATGCTTTTCTGAAGTGCACAATCCCACTTTTTGGAACCTTCCTGAATGTTAGGGAAATGTAGCAATTCTGTTTGCATTCAATAGGAACTGCTGTGTGCTGTAATTTTAGAGAGACGTTTTTTGAAAAATGACGTCTTTACAACCACTGGCTTCCCCAAGCTGAAGCTTTCCCTACAGATTTCAAAAAGGCGGATAGGAGCCTCTCTGGAGGCAAGTTCTTAGCAAGCCCAACTAAGAGTGTGATTGCATTTAACAGTGGCTGTTTCCTTCTTCTAAAGAACAGCTGGGATGGGTTGGGAAATGAGGTTGTGATGGAAGTGTCCCTCCTGAGGCCAATAGCAGTTTGGGGGTGTGATTTTCGCTGGGAATACAGCAATGCGAGAAGGGTTGACAGACCAGGCTCCCACTCCTGATCACCCCACCACCCATGGCTGCTGCTTGGAAGAAAACATGGCACATTAATGCATTTAACATCCCATCCAGGCAGACCCACAGTCCACTCATAACAAAGCATTAAGCACACTGGTTCCAATAGGACTCCAAAGCATAACTGCATCAGATTGTGCCCTTGGCAGTTATTGCTGTGTTTATTTACAGAACAACCCTACCCATCTTTACTTGGAAGTAAGCACCACTGCATCCAGTGCGGCTTACTCCCAGGTAAGTGCTGAGTTCTTCACTATAGGGTTCCTCAGCTGTATCTGGTTGGCTTCACATCACAGAAACTAAAAACACCTTCTCTGTCTCTCTCTCCCTCTCTGGCCTATCTTTCAATATGTTTACCTTGCATTCTGATCCAAGTGACTTAGACAATGTTAAAACAATATGAAAACTGCCCAATGCCCTTAGTTCTCCTTTGCTGCGGTAGCCGCAGGCCATTTGGCAACAAGAACACAGTTCTTTCTAGGAAGGAAAGTGGCACTAGCCAATCAGAACTGCAAACTGCAAAACCTGTTTTGCTCTTCCTCGCGAACCTTCATTGCTTGAATCCAGGGTTCACCCATCTATAACAGGAAAAACCCAAAACTGTTTACAATTGCCTGATAGAAATGTGGAAAATGAATTAAATAAAAAGAAAATAAAAAACGTGTTTGAGTCTTATCTCTGTTTGAAAGGTAAAGAGATCCCTGACTGTTAAGTCCAGTTGTGAACGACTCTGGGGTTGCGGCGCTCATCTCGCTTTATTGGCCAAAGGAGCCGGCGTACAGCTTCCGGGTCATGTGGCCAGCATGACTAAGCCGCTTCTGGCAAACCAGAGCAGCGCACGAAAACGCCGTTTACATTCCCGCCGGAGCGGTACCTATTTATCTACTTGCACTTTGACATGCTTTCAAACTGCTAGGTTGGCAGGAGCTCACCCCATTGCGGGGATCTGTGGCTTAGACCTCGTGCAAATTCCTTACTGACCCTAGCAATGTGCTGAACTTGTCACGTGAAAATTGTGAACACAAATTTTTACGGTTGTTTTGCCCTTGTATCAATAAACTCTCATGATAACATGATGGAGATTTTGAGGCACCATAGTCATCCTGATGTGACTGGAAGATGCTGTTCATTGAGATCTCCACTGTCCTTTGTGACAATGGCATGTAGAAAGAATGCAAGAACACTGGCTCTTGGGTCTCCTCCAGATGACCCATTTATGGAGAACTTGTTCTTATTTGCCTGCGCAAGACTACCAGGGAGGTTAGACTCCTTCCAGTCTTTATGGAACATTCAGGGTGGTTATATGATAATGAACATTTGCCCTGCGTTCATCTTTCTTTGCTTGCAGGGTGTTCATACATCTTTTCTTTAATCATTCACTCATTCTGTACTTTTCCGATGCATTCCCCAACTGCAAAATGTCCCTTTCTTTCTTAAAGTAGATTTGTTGGGCTAGGTTGGTAGAGCTCTTTCATCCATTTTAATTGCACAAACTTAAAGTTCCAGGGCGTGCTTGAATTCTTCCTAAAAAACAGCGACAGTCCGGAGGCATCGTCTCATGTAGAACCAAAGCAGTCATTCTCCAGCACTGTTTTACTGATGTCATTCGTAAAGCATGAATTCAATTTTTTTTTAAATAACTAAGAAATGGTCTGCCGTGGCAGAACAGCATGTGTGTGGAGAGCACTGTTCCTTCTGACTATTGGATTTATTTTCATTGGGTCTTTTGTCCATGCCTAGCCCTGGGGATTTCCTTCAAGTTCTTGCCTGGGTTGCTAATAAGTTGTTATCGTTCCAGATACACACAGCTTTTGTGATCACCCACAAGCATCCTTTGTTGAGTTCCTAGAGGGTGACCCTTGTTAAAACGAAATGCAAAATGGCAAAGATCAAGTGTAGGTCTTGTTCAATAGCCGGAATATCCTTCGGCTGGAGACTGTGATCCAGAGCCAAAATGATGGTGATGTTGAGTTACAGGACACACACACACACACACACACACACACACACACACGGCTCAATGTGTTGTTTCCACAATTCATTATCACTGTGCTGTGGTGTAAGGCACAGGGTGGGCAGACTATAGGCGTTGTGGATCTACTTTGTTTTTTTACTAGAACCCCAAGACCTACTAACCAGGTGCAGAAGACATACAGTGAAAGAATGTGGTGCCTCTGACCACATCATGAGCCAAGGAATTTGTTTTCAGTACTGGAACTGAAGCCAGTTCTGTCCCACGAAAAGGCCACTTCTGGTTAGCTTGCTTCATGTCCTCAGTCTAATTTAGGTGGGGAAAGTAGTTTGGTTGTTGCTATTGCTAAACAATTGGGAGTTACAAGCTGCAAATTTACTATAAGGTCCACTGCAAATCTCCCAGAGATCTAGAGATCTACTAGTATGGTGGTACCTCGGGTTACAGATGCTTCAGGTTACACGATTTCGGGTTGTGCACTGCGGCGAACCTGGAAGTACCGGAACGGGTTACTTCCAGGTTTCGGCGCTCGTGCATGCGCAGAAGTGCCGAATTACGACCTGCGTGTGCCCTTGCGCAGACGTGGCACTGCAGGTTGTGAACGCTGCGGGTTGTGAACACGCCTCCCACACAGATCCATAGCTGTCAACCGTCCCTTATTTGGCGGGAAACTCCCTTATCCCAGCGCCGTGTCCCACTGCTGTCCCGGATTGATGATATCCCATAAATTTCCTGGGTTTCAAAGGAAGCAGCTCCTCTTCCTCCCTCCCTGCCGGCCAGGGAGGAGGGAGGCTCCAACTGTGTTGCTTGGCTGTGTTGCTCACCCAATAAGGAATCTAAGAACGACTGGGAGGTGGAGCTTACATCAGTGGCGTAGCGTGGGTTGTCAGCACCCGGGGCAAGGCAAGTAATTTGCGCCCCCTAACCCGTGGATTTGCGCCCCCTAACCCGTGGATTTGCCTAACCCCCAGATGTTGCACCCGGTGCGGCCGGCCCCCCCTGCACCCCCCACACTACGCCACTGGCTTACATGCCTTGTGCCGATCAAAGCAGCCGCGTTGCCTGGGGACTCGCCTTTGCTCAGTGCTTCCCAGCAGAGAGGTGACGGTGGTTTTCCTTGCTGCATCCCCTTTGCCAGGTTGCTGCGCTGTGGGAACCGCCGCTTGAGGCTTCGTTTGGCTGCTGGCTGGGCTTTCTGCCTTTGGCTCGGAGGGGCTCAGAAGTTGAACATACCTGTGCCCGAAAAATCCCTTATTTTGGCTGCTGATCCCTTATTTTCGAAGCTGCTGGTCCCTTATTTTCAAATCTATAAGTTGACAGCTATGCACAGATCACGTTCGCAACCCGAGGTTCCACTGTATATCCTGATACCATAGAATCATAGAATTGTAGAGTTGGAAGATACCATGAGAACCATCTAGTCCAACCCCCTGCAATGCAGGAATCTTTCACCCAACACGGGGCTCGAACCCACAACCCTGAGATGAAGAGTTTCATGCTCTACCATCTGAGCTATCCCACCTTCCCCATTCCTGCTGTGTAGGATAAAAAGATGAAGGACATGTCTAAACTGAGTTCTACAGGAGTCTCTTAGGCATGAAGGCCGAACAGCTAATATACATGTGTTGAGTAAGCTCTTCCATGGATCTCTCTTTTTTGCTACCATTGGTAGTACTCAAAGCCCTTCTCATCCTTGCGCAAAGATTCCAGTGCACATACAAGCAGAATAATCAGATTGTCTACCAAATGCTCAGGAAGGGCTGGGAAATACAGCCAGATGATCAGCAGAGGACTGCAAGCATTAGATGTGTCGAAGCATGGGATCAAGGAATTGAGTAAGCAAGAGTAGAGGAAATGAGCACATCAGCCACCAGGGGAGAGTAATATAAGGGCAGGCACTGAGAGAGATGGAATTGGAGGGTTATATCATGGCTTTGGATGAAGAGATACATGAAATATGCGGGTGCTCTGCATCCAGCAGTCCAAGGCATGAGGCTCTTTTCTCTAACCTGATGCCCTCCAGAAGTTGTTGGACCACAAGTTGTTGTTCCCTGACCATAGGCCATGCTAGCCGGGGCTGATGGGATTGAAGTCCAACGAACAGGAAGATATATAAATTGAAATCCAACCTCTGTGTGGTGGAGAGATAGGAACAACAATACATATGTGGTGGAGGTGTGAGGAAATTAAGAAATTTTGGATAGTAGTACACGAAGAACTAAAGAAGATGTTGAAAATATCAATAACAAAGAAACAAGAGACATTGTGCTGGTCCCGGGGGAAGGTTACTGTTACCGTAGTCCAAGTTCAGTCCTAAGTCACTAGCCTGGAGATAGTCCACAAAGTGCGAGATGAGGTCCGAAACAGGGAGCCGGGCGGGGACAGGAACACTCGAAGATCAGAAGCAGGAAGCCGGGCGGGGAACAGGAACACTGGAGGAACAGGACTGGATGCTGGCCGAAACAGCTCTTCAATGACGACGTTGCTCCCGCAACCTGGGACCGGGCTGACTGCCCTTTATCTTCTCTAAGGCCAGGGGCGGTCCCGGCCCCCAGGAGCCCCGCCTCTCCTGGCCTTAAGGCGAGCACTCCTCCTGGGAGAAACCAGTTCCCTTCGCCTCTCTGCCCTAAGCCTCTGCAGTTCAGGAGAGGCCGAAGGGTTACTGGGCCCCGGGAAAGGCTCACCTGTAGACACTGAGTCCTCAAGCACCTCTGGGGCCAGAATGGTTTCACCTGGTGCCTGCTCCTGAGGATCTGGCACAGGTGCAGGCTCCTCAGAATCTAGGCCTTGCCCCAGTTCAGCCGGCCCTGGAGGCAGGGACTCCTGTGCCGGCTGGGATTCCTCCGGTTCACTCTCAGAATCGGAATCCCAGGCCATCACAGACATATCACCTTGGATTGATAGATGATGAGATACCATGGGGGGGGGGGGAGAACTTTCCTATATGCAAGTACAGTTGCTAGAATAGTGATAGGAATCACTGAAACCTGGTGGGATAAATCCCACGATTGGAATGTAATAATGGAGGGATACAATCTATTTCAAAGAAACAGACCAGACAAGAAAGGAGGAGGAGTGGCGTTATATGTCAGGGATGTGTATACCTGTGAAGAGATCCAAGATTTAGAACCTCAAAGCCAAAGTGAGAGCATTTGGGTCAAAATTAAGGGAGAGAAGAATAACAGTGACCTCATTGTGGGAGTTTACTATAGATCCCCAAGCCAAACGGAGGACATAGATGATGCCTTCCTGGAACAGATGGCCAAGCATGCAAAAGGAAGGGAGATAGTAGTAATGGGGGACTTCAATTACCCGGATATTTGTTGGATGTCAAACTCAGCCAAGAGCATAAGGTCAAACAGATTCCTCACTGCCCTTGCAGACAACTTCATTGTCCAGAAAGTGGGAGAAGCAACAAGAGGAACAGCCATTTTAGATCTGGTCCTAACCAATGTTGATGACCTGGTTAGTGGGGTAGAAGTGGAAGGATCATTAGGCGCGAGTGATCATGCTCTTCTGAAGTTTACTATACAGCGGAAAGGAGCAGCCAAGCATACTAGGACTCAATTTCTCGACTTTAAGAAAGCCGACTTCATAAAGCTTAGGGAAGTGCTGGGTGAGATCCCATGGACAGTAATACTAAAAGGAAAGGGAGTTCAAGATGG